AATTCGTAGTCACTATAAGACGGGGTCGAAGTAAGACAGATAGAAGAATGTTCTATCAGCACAATTCCACGCGTTACTCTGTACTCGGGGAAACACATGGAAAAACATTTACCCATTCGATTGATTGAGAATAAAACAGCTGCCAACCCACCTACTGTTAGACCAGCATTTATGGTAAACAAACTGAAAATCATTACGGACAATATTGCATCATTTGACGCTTGACAGTCTCAGTGAGATCGGAGATTTTTAAACAAGGCACTGCATGGTTTTCAACTTCATGTTGCTTGGCATAAACTGCGCCGTTTATCGTTTCGAACACTCCTGTGATTTTCTTTGCTTTCTTTCTAGAAACCTAACCTTGGACTGGACCCAAAAGACCCCATGGACATGGAAATACGTACCTATTTAGACTCTCTTCATGGGATTGTGACCGATTCCGGTGGTTCCACAAACTCCTCACTCGCTCCTGGTGGAAGTTGCGGTGCGGATTCGGAAGACGAGGCCGATGCAGAGTCGCACAATCCGGAAGATGAGGACGAGAATGAGGAAGGACGTAATAAAGGATCCAAACAAGTTTCCGGTCGTAAACGCAGACGTCCCCGGGGTCGACCACGTAATTCAAACACACATGGGAATTCGTCTGCTTCACATGCTGCCTCCTTAGTTGGTTCGGAATACGGCTGTGCCGGTATCGGTCGATTGTCATTGCGGAAACATGCCCGATTCGAGGAAGAGCTAGCCGCGGTAGCCACGACCATGATCCGTGGTGCCAGTGGGGAAGTTCAACAGACCTCCGCGGAACCTGCTGAAGGAACACGACGGGGTTCGCGTCGTGGCGTAGTCTACTTACAGAATTCCACCGCTCAATCCGGGTAAGTGTTTGTCCCGCTTGACTAGTTAATCAATTCCTTTTTTGTATCACCATCAGTATCCATCAATCAGAAGGTTTTTACTTTGGTCACTGAACCCAGGGCTTACGTTGCCTGAACCAACTGAATTCATTCCCTCTGTGGAGTGGTTCGTTCGTGAGAGGGTCATTCTGAAAATAGCAACAAGCACGAAAAAACAGGGATGAAATGTCTTCACTCCCTTATCTACCCAACGGTTTGTGAGATTATTTATGCCTATCGTATTTAAAATAAAACGCGAAACAGTTTTTCAGTATTAGTTGATTTCATAAAGAGGTCGTTCTTATTCTGAGAACTAGTCATGCATATAAGGGACCGTATTTCTGCAGATAATAATGTTGCACACCACATAGGAATCCGTGGGTAACATGCTATATTGTATCAACAGTGGCCGATTTTATCTCGGCTCAACAAATAACTTCAATTAAGGTTGTGGTGGTAGTCAAAAAGGTCCTAATTGTCACGTACCATTACAATCTGAGAACGTAGAAATCGCCCAAACGATGGATTACAAATTGGTAAACTTTTTGAAACTTTCTTGCTTCTCGTTTTCGAAGAGAGTGTTATTTGACGGCCTCAAGGTGGTACTAATCTTCCTTCTGATTCCGCTCTGTACAGAACCAAACTACCACCTGGGACGTTTTACGTGCACAAGCAATTTCAAGAATCGTGTCGGCTATCCCGGAACCAACATGAGGATGAAATAAATCGGCTGGAAGAGGCTGCAATGGCCTTGAGCGTTCGGGTGGACGAACACGTTCGTGTAAGGCTTGGCACGTCTTTCTGTGCGCTTCACAATCACGCTCCTTGCTGAAGCTGCGTATTGCCAAGCCTCACCCCGGGGCAAAAACAAAAAAATATCTCATCCATCTGTGATCTGCTCCAAATCATCCTGATTAGTTTCTTTTTTGTTTTCTCATTTGCTTGTTCGGATGAGCATCGATGTTCGAACGATCACGCGCCTCATTCCATCCATGTATACATATTTCGTTAATGTCGAGGTGTTACGCCTGTCGCATTCGTCCGACTGCTCCAGTGTTCCAGCTGTTATTTGCACGTGAGCAATACTCTTCAGCTATAATCACCGCTCATTATTCAGTCCTATGTCTACCAAGAGTTGGTTCTTCCTGAGCTGGCGGAGTACACATATTCTTAGGTGCAGAGCACAGAAACAAACCCCAAATATCAAAATCTGCTTGTTTTTTTGAAGTCGGTCAAACCAAGCTGCCCATTTAATGACAGCATTTTGGAGTCGACTAGGGGCATTCTCCAAAATGTTATAATTATTGAGACTTAAACAGGAATGACGAGATATGACACTCATGATCAGCCGCGCTGTTGGTAACAAACAAGCTACCTTGTTTGTCACAGACCTTTCCTATTCAATCTGATGCGAGTGAAGTGATCTTAGTAGGTCTGGGGCTTCGGTTTGCTAAGAAGAGGTCATCTGTTGCAAACCGTTGTGACGTGGTTTAATTGTCCCTTTTATACGGTCTGTTGGTTCTAGGAACGAATCCTGTCCATATTCTTAAGGTTTGGTTGAGGTCAAAATGCACTTGGTGACCAGAAAGGCTATCGGTACGCTCATTTCACAAAACAAAGATGTGGCTTCATCGCCGTGGATGTTGAATGTGCTACTTCTCACCTTGGTCTAAATGTTGCATCAAACTGACTACGGCACAAGCATATCAAAGCCACGAAATCTCTTCACTCTCCTCATCTGTGTGTAATCAAGTATTTTCGCTGTAGTGTTTGCGTGTGTTTAGTCTAGCATTTCTCGCTGGCGACTAGTACTGGGTTTTATTTACTCATCATTTCATAGTTGGGCTCAAACTGCCAGCGGCAGAACCAGGGGTGAGAAACTGCTTCGGCTGTTTCAAGCGCCGGCCACCCATAAAAGGTGGACTTCGTAACCCAATTCGTTATAACTCCGTAATTGTTTCCACAAGCCCTCGGAAATTTTTTTGTTTTATCATGTTTGTGGAAGCTACCGGGAGCGTTTAGTTAACTTGACTTTTGTATGATGTATGTATTTATTGGGACCCCGGGAAAAATTCGTTTGTTTTAGATTGCAATAAGGATGATGTGGTGTTCATTCATGGTTATTCCAATCAATGTTTGTGGATGATCTATCAGCACACCACTCCGCAGCTGAAGTACTTTTCTCCAAGTTGCTGTCCTCAAGCGCTGAGTCTTTTCTTTTTATTTCCCTCTATTCAATTCAGATTTACTGATTCAAACAATTTTCAGCCTGGCTGAATCAGCCAATCAAAGGATGCCATACATAGATAAAATAGGAAAGGTTAGGCTGCACCGGTGGGATTCTAACGCACTGCCCCCCCCACTGGTGACCCCTTTGGTCACCGCCGTCTGAAAAAAAAACTGAATGACTATTATCCATTTCAATGCAATCTATTGAAACCCGCATTTCATGTATAATAATACTAATACTACCACCACTTGAGTGAGATTCAAACAGACCACTATTGTTGATTAAGGATTAACTTCTTGTTTTGTCGCTAGTGAACATCTCGCCATTCCTAATGATGATAATACTCTTTTAACTTTTTAAATATTGAATATGTCATGAAACGGTCATTTTATAAGAAGGAGGAGGCTGTGCCCAATCCAAAGTTACCAGAAGAGCAACCAACCATTTGAGACCAGATTGAAGTAGATATGGTGTTGAGCCGGATACAAATGTAGCAAGATCCGCATGTTTCAAGTGTTTTTTTTTTGTTTCGACTAAATGGGAAGTTTGATTTTCCTTCATCTTGACCATTCCGTTTGTCCATCTCATTTTTTTCTTGTTTCTAGAGGGCCTCCAAGACCAGTGCCTTACTGGACGGTATGCAAAGTCTTCGTCCTCCACCCATATGCATGGTAAGAAACACCACCAACTTTGTTCAAGCTCCTGGTAATCTAAATGCTTTGATGTCACGTGCTTCCTATACCTGTGGACGGTGTATCACAACAGTAGCACCCCTAAGCTGGTACACTATTGGGCACGTCTCACCTCTTTGGTTGTTATTATTGATCCAACTTTTGTCCTTAGCTCTAACAAACTGAAGCACGCGTATGTGACCACACTTGACAAAACAATTCGCAAGTGAGCTAGACCAGG